AGAAAGAATTAATTTCAACACATAAAAAAAAAGTTGTCGGTGGGGGGAAACATACAAGAGAGAAATGACGTTTAATTAAATGACAAAGCGCTTCTCAAATTATGCTGTTGCCCACAAGCTGTGATTAAAACGGCGATGATCTATTTCGTTTGCATTCACATTCAACATGTTGATGACCTAATGCTATTATCGAGTTTCATACGTTCTTCTTATTCTTCTTGATGTCTATTTTATTATTATTTAAATTATCTCTTCCATCTAAATTTGTTGGATATTTCTGTAAATTGACAAAGACAGCGTGAAATTTTTCATCTCTACTCTAGGAATATGAGAAATATTTAAATGACAAGACAACAGATTTGATAAAGTTATTATCTTCTAGCAATCTACATTAATGATTATTGTTATTGTTATGACTTATAACTGAGAATTTTCAGAAATTTTACTGTTTTTGTTTATAAATTATTTTTGGGGTATCAATCTTGCTGATGGACATTTTCTTGATAATTCCATTTGTTTTATTTTGAGATTTTTTGTCACGACTGAATTTAAATAGTGACTAAAGAACACAAAATACTAATACCCTTGGACACTATTTAATCTAGGTGCTGAGTATTACATAAATATATTATGAGAAGAATCAAAGTAGACAGGCTTCGATAGGCTGGACACGTTATTACAAGACCTGTTGATGCTCCATTAAATAATGCCTTCAAATCTGAAGGCTTAAGAACTCATGAAAAAAAGGCTGTTGATAGAGACAGTGTTGCGTTTGGAATCAGCAATTGACAGACGGTAGCCAGCGATAGAGCAAGTTTTAGGGGAGGTCATGAATCATAATTGATCTGTACGGCTAGCGAAGTAAGTAAGTAAGTTAAGTATTAAAAGTCAATGTGTCTTTATCTGATCTTAATGACTAAGAAGTCATAGCTTATTATATTCCGTCCTTAAAGATTGACTTTATTCTTCAAAAATGTTCAGATATTAAAATTTTCTGTTACTATGGACGGTGCTAGGCTCAACTATTCGAATCAATTTAATTTTATTTAAATAATTCAAGAAGTAAGACCCTCGAGAAGCACAAGTCGGTTAATCGATATCCGGCACCAAGCTATCGTGAATCTGTTATGGTGCTGGATTTTAATAGAAGCTGGTATTATGCTAGAGTCGTATGGGTTTGGTGCCGGATTTATATTCGATTAGCCGATTTGTGCTATTCAGGATCAGTCCTTGCTTCAGTGCAATCTTTAAAGAATAGATCAATAAGAATTCAAGGGTAAGGAACTGATTAATTACATTTTGATAGTTTTTGATCATTTCATCAGTCCGCAACCTTGTAAGAATAAGGAGGAAGGAGGTTCTCAGACTCGGAAACTAGGCGGTATTTAGTGGCATTTGTATTCTCAGAATCTGGGGAGGTCCTTGGTGCTAAAATTATTTATTCAATTTCAAACACAAACTTTATTTCAATCTTAGTAATTGAGCAAATATTTATCAACTTAAGGATATCCAATTGAAAATATTTATCTTCAAAAACAAAAAGGATAGAAAAAATTTCAATTACTTTAAAAGCTTAAAAAGCTATCTAAAATATAAATATTATTGTTCTCTCAATAGTTCAAGAACTGCTGTAAAATACAAATATTTGCCGTAAGTCAAGCAAATCTTAATTTCTCAATTGCCATTATCTCATTGCAGTTTACTCATGAAAAGGAGGAAAAGACGAAGAAAAGTTCATTATATAAAAAGGAAATGCAATGAAAAAAAAAAAATTAAATACTTTTATTAGATAACATGGTTGATCTTAGTTTGTCTTTAGAGTAAAAAAAAACGGAGGATAAAGATGAAATTTTCCTGAATTTTTCTTTTCATTTCGTAAACGAGGAAGAGTCATGATATAATTTTAAATCTCTTAAGAATCTCGTTAAAAAAATTTATACAATAATTCAATATATATAAAGAAAAGGAAAAGAGATACAAGGAAGAAGAAGTAGTATCAAGGTTTCAGTAGAGCAGAAATCTAATAAAGTGCAATGCATCGTATCATGGAACATAATTTTCTATTTAATTTATAATGATCCATTGAGAAGAATGGCAAAATCAGTTGCATGCTAGTTTTTCATTTTATATTATTTTTTCAACCATAGAAACATCACTAGCTTCACTGACGATGTGAAGCAGTGGAGCTCAAATACAATAAATTATAATTGAATGAAAATTTAAACTCTTGATCACTAAATTTATTCTTCCTGCTTTATTTTTTGTGCTGTTATATTATATATCAAGCATAAATTCCATGTTTCTGTGTTGAATGATAAATCAATTACTTGACTTGATATAGGTTAGGAGTAAAACAATAAATAAAATTAGATCCAAAAAATACACAGAAATCCATCAATGAATCTTCTCATTCTGTTCTGCACTGTTTTTTATGCTGCTCCAATAAAATTTATCGAGAATGTCAGCTATAATGAAAAATTGTCCACAATCTCAACTAATGATAGTAGTTAGAGGGAAAGGAATTTGCTTGCAACAAGTTTTCTTGGAGAAGATGCTGAAATGACTTTTTTGGACCGAAAACATCTGTTAAATTCAAAAATATTTGGTGGTAATCGAGATGAATTCTGGTTTTCGCATACTTGATAAACTTAAGAAGCCGCAAAAGAGGATGATCCTAGTCGAATAAATTAATATGGCTACGATAGGTAGAGCTATGACTTAAGTTTTAGACTAGTGAAAGAGTGACTATATATTCACAACATTAGAGTCAACTTTGAGTCGTACTTATAGGCTGTGATGAAGCTAATAGTCAACCTTCATATTCTTCTTTTCCATCAAACATTGAAATCTATGAATAACTTCTAGCTGAACCCCTTCCCCTATGATATCCCATTTACAAATTTGATAATATGACAATTAGGGTCATGGTATAAAAAAGGGTAGGTTTAGTCAATGATAGTCAATGACCAAAGGTAAATGATGATGAGTTCCTATTACTCCACTATGAAGTGTAGGGCGTCCACAAAGCATTTGAATCGCACTATGTTGATCTGCCTCCCGTTCAACAGTTGTACGTCAAGTAATTCTCCGTCGGCCCCTAGTCCTATTTCCTTGAACTTTCTAGATGATCGCTTTCCTTGCGATGTCTGTGTTCCTTATTGTTTCAGGATAGTAAATGCCACATATTACTCTCAGACACATGTTGACGAAAACTTCGATGCGCTGTGTAAGAGCTTTTGTGACTTTCTAAGTCTCGCATGCGTAAAGAAGTACATGCTTGACGTTCGAGTTGAAGATCTTCAGCTTCAATCGTCTCGAAATTAACCAAGGGTAAAGCCAATTGTAAAATACCTGAAACTAAACCATTAGGGCACCACTCATGTTAATTAATGACTACATACTTCTAGGGTCCCTCAAAATGTGCCTTCTTCATTCCCAAAGTCAGTTTATATTTTAGCCACTGTACTAGTCATACTAGTGTGCATTGCAGAAGTATACCCAAAATACCACCCCCGAATACAACTTTATGCGCCTTATTCCTAAAATAAGCTAATAAAACCATCCAAACTCTCCTCTTGAATAAACTATATCCATTGAAAGAAGGCGAGAGACTGGATATGATAAATTTGTTTTTGTGTTACTGGAAGTGGAAAATTTTTTCTTCTTTTATTTCAATTTTTCATTCTTCTGAAAAGTGTTGCAGCAGCTAATGCCGGATTATTTTCATTGAAAGTCGAGTAAAAGAATAATAAAAATACTAAATGCGACATTAAACTTTATTGTGGAACTTGGAGTACAGAAAAAAAAGTTTTATTTCACTTTTCAACTTTTTTTAGTTCTCTCCTCTACAATTTGTTTTACAAGTACGGAAATCTTTCTCGTACCGAAAAAAAAAAGTTCAATCAATTTAAATGAAGTTGTGAAAAACAAACTTTTGTGCATCTCTGTTGGAAATGCCCTTTTAGGATGTTAAATTCAAATGATGATCATCCTCTCGAAACTCAGGTGTTTCTTGTCTTTTTTTTCCTTCTTTTGGGGGCCGTTCGCTAGTTACGTCCAACATACTAGAGTTTAATGTAAAGCAGGAAGTCTGTGGCTATGTTAGGACTCTAAAAAGAATAAATCAGTGCAAGATTCTTGACAATGAAGCAAGAGAGCTTAAAATCTGCATTTTCTAGCATTACCTAACAAGTGAACGACCCCACATGCCTGATAATGGAAATTCTCTATCCAAACTTTCTCCTTTTTTTATTAGTTTTGTGAAAGTCATCTGGCTTGATGGAGTGGAAATGTTAAATCCATTTTATATGGGCGAGAAGACTTAAAAATGGAAAATGAAAATAATTGTTGTTCTCTTTCCTTCCTGCTGAACTTTCTACCCCTTGATAGTTATGCAATCATCAAAACACTTTAAGCCCACAATTTTCTTCATATTTGTTGGATCATAATAGTTTTTAAATGGAAGAACTATGAAGCTCTATGCCTTGCCTTTTAAAAGTCTATTAAGTTAATTGAGCTTTGCATCATATAATTTTATACATTCTTGATAAGGATTTTATGCTTATGAAAATTATCTTGAAGAAAACTAAGCTCGTTTATTGGACTTTTAAGGAGTAATCTCTGGGAAAATAATAACAGTTTATGAATTCATTTACATGCATTTCCATCTGGAATCTTGGAATCGATTTAAAATGCAAAAATATGTTTTGCTGTGCTTCTTACAGACAATTAGGAAAGTTTGAAGAAAACTTTGACTATCTTGATTCTAAATAAAGGATGTGGCTCACTTATGATGTACAAAAATTGATTCTTTATTTAAATATTGTACTTCAGATTTGAACAGTCTCACGTTAATAAACGATATGAAGCTATAGGATAGGAGTAGGTTCCTAGAAACCTGAATATTAAATGAGTTATTTTAAAGGATTTTGATATGTAAAGCAACGTCTCTATCACTGTAAAAAAAATAAATTCAACACAACTCATCCACAAATTTAATTTTCATCATCATAAAAAATGTTTAAATAAATTTATTTACAGAAAGCACATCGTACGTGCTCTCATCCAACGTCATTCACCTTAGGAATAATAATAATAATTTTAATTAATTTTATGCATTTTATAATGTAAAGTACTTAATTGAAAGTGTCATTTGATTCAGTGTGCATGAAAAGTACGAAAAAAAAACTTTTTTTTATGCTTCTTATTTAGAATTCGTCATGACAAAAATGACGACGTTTGACTATGAAAAGTAATGAAAAACTTTTTCTATTTTTATGTTCTTTGCTCAGCGTTTCACAGAAATAATAAAAAAAATTAAGTTAAATTAAATTTTCTCATGGAAACTCATCCATTCAGTCGTCCTTTAAAAAATATCAATTCGATTGTCAGGCGGTGGTGAACGACACAGTCTCGATGAGATGACGCCAAGACTAATTAAGAGTAGTATTAATGATGACAGTGCCAACGATATGCCTGTCGTGACATCGTGAAGTGGAAAGCCTTTGACAGGCTTCATCAGAAGTAAAACAGCCAATGCACAGCAGTTCATTATAGCGAAAAATGTCATCATTATGAAACCTGTTGTGATAATAAGAATTTTTTAATATTAAAATATTTTATCAGTGCATGTAGCAATGTGGACGTTCTTTTGTAATAGACACATACCTGATATGTAGTGACGGTTTGGCAACCAATCGCTATGTCGATATTTAAAGCCCAAAAAGCTAAGGGCAACGGTAGCAAATGCTGACATTATTCCAATATCGAGGAAAATTGAACGACCAGTCTGTAGAGAATGAAACAAAAAGTATTTTTAATATTAAAAAGTTTTGAACAGCAAAGCAAGTAAAATTGTCAACAATCAAGTGAATATTGTGATGCTATTGGGGCATTTTCTATGGCAGTTTTGTTTATATTTTATGAGCTTTTGATAGAGAATTTCAGAATTTTGTGATTTTATCAGCAAAATTGCATAAAATAACAGACTTGATTGAAAAGTTGATAGAGACAACGTTTGAGCAATATTTGGTTAGATCTCATAACTATTCATGATTGAGTTTTATAGTTTTGATTCTTGGAATTTGGGGAACTTTTGCGTAGAGTCAAAGGTTTGAATATAGACTAGACGACAACAGAGCAATAACCTTTATGCATGTAAAGCAAATTGTTGGTTCTTTTTGTAAAGGCTAATCAATATAGATGCTTTAAAATGCTGTAATAATTTTGGTCAGTTGTAGGATTGGTAGATTAGTAGTGTAACGTATTGAACGTCTGATGGGAATCAAACTCACGAGATCGTAAGAAAGGGTTGAAGATTTTCGGTCAAATGCTTAATCAAATGCTTAATGCTCCGTGTCTTGACTCTTGGAGATTTGCATCAATTTGTGTCCGAATAGGCAAAGGCATAGCAAGAGAAAAATCTTGCTGTACCTCTACATCCTCGTCCTCAAACTTCAATTCGCGTCACTAAAACCTCAAGTCATTATAGATCATTAAGTTTGACGAGCAGCTAGAATTGCATTATTTTCACTAAATTGCTTAACATCAACACGATTCCAGCAAACAGACAAACTGTCACTTCATTAACATCCCATTCACTGTCCAAGAACCGCCAATTTTTATCCAAAATAAAACTTTTTCACTTGTTTGTTGCCATGAAATTTCTATAGCAGCAAAAAAAATATTGGAAAATAAAAAATATACATACATAAAGTGCTGAGATGCTGGAAACACTAGTCATGTAAATGCATAATCCTGAATTGATAACACCACAAAACATTAATAGCAATGAAACAAAACCAATCGTTGCAATAGCTTGTTTGTGTGATTTTAAATTCTTATTCCATGACTTTTCTGTTTCTGTTGTCGTTGTCGTTTCATTATAAACTGAGGCAGCTGTATGCACTCGTGGTTGTATAACAGCTGTAGTTCTCTGTTCCAAATTCAATGTCGTTGTGGATGCCATTCGAACCTTTTGATCATATTGTAATCGTTGTGGGGTGAATTCATGCTTACTCGGTGTGTTTGAAGCTAGCCTTGGATTACTTGCATAGAGATTTAGATTTGACTTGACACGGTATGGCGAATTCTTTGGCGACAATGGTGTTGAGTTTTGTCTTACAAACGGTGATGACTTTTGTGGTGTTGACAGCAACTCATAAAGTTTCTGTGTTGCTAGTGGATTCTTCTTTGGCGTTGATGGCATTTCATCCTCACTTTTTTGCTGAATTAATTGCTTTTGCGGAGTTCGTTGTGGTGATGTTCTTCTACTTAATGCTACAGCATATGATGGTGGCATTCGAGGTGGCTTAACAGTTACGTCTGCATTTAAACATGTCTCCTCCTCATCTGTTGGAATTACAGCATAACGATGGGCTTTTCCATTATGCATTTGAATGATTTCATGATTATCGTCTACAATTTCTTCATTCTCTTCTGTAGGTACGACTGCATATCGTTGCTGATTCTTTTGGTCAAATATAATAAAAGATTTACTACCAAAATCTGTTGAAAAGGCTGGCATCATTCCACCTTCCTTTTTAGGCGATGAAATAGGCGGTAAGCTTGCAAATTGATCTGAATAGTTATGTGGCAATTCATCCCCATCATCTTCTGCATCAATGAATCTATCTAAATTCTCTTGACTCTTTGATATGAATCGTGATGCAGTTTGTGGCGGTAAAACAGCATAACGTCCTTGATTGCCTGAACTCAATTCTTCAACTGGCACCAATGCATAACGACCGCTCACTGACTGATTTTGAACATCCGATATAGATCCATAACGACTGCTAGTGGTTGTAATTTGATGAGCAAGTGGTTGCTGTTGCTTATTTCCATCAACAGCAGCTATACGAGATACAATCGGCTTTGGACCGGGTCGTGGTGGCAGGGATAATGGCATTGAATGCTGCTGATGATGACTACAGTTCAGACTCATACCACTATTATTTCTTTGCATTGCATTGCCACTCCTGAGGGAACGATTAGTGGACGCAACGGAATGAAACGAACGAATCGATTCACTCCGATGAACACGAGCAGGAGAATTTTTCATGTTTGCAGCAGTCACTATTGTTGGACGAGAAATTGTTGTTGCTGCTGACGGTACTTCATCCTGACAAAATGCTGGATTTGTGTAATTGTGACGAGACATTCCTTACTAATTTATGAATATTATCAAGAGAAACATGCAGTACGATAAGAATAACAATAAGCACATATGAACGACCGTTGAATTCTTATTGGATATATTTTCTATTCACAATTGTTCTTTGTTTCCTATTAACGGTTTTTTTGCGGTTTCTACCAAATTTATTATCTTTTTTTTTGTTATCTATATTTACACAAATTCTTATCAATGCTCAGCACTATATCAAGTCTAGACCACCAAATTATTTTAAATAAACTTTCACACAAAATAATAAAAATTATTCCTCGGTTAGTTCCTTTCAGTTGGAATGTTAAACTGCATCTGGCGCTTTAAATTATGTTGAAATAAAAGTGGAAGTAGAGGAACAAGAACGTTTGCATGTATGAGTGTTATGAACACCCGTCATTGATCGCAATATCCCCTCGCATTAAAAAGTAAGCAGCAACTCATACTTTTCAAGGCACAAAATATATTTTTTAGCACGTGTTCTTTACTTCTGTCTTCTTCTTCCTTTTAACCACTTCTTCCTTGCATGTATATAAGTCCATATTGGCACATACACACACACACACACACATTTTGGACTATTCATTATTTCAATTTAAAATTTATTTTGTATCCGTTTTTATTACCTTTTGCCTTCACATTGAAATGTTCTTAGTTCTCATTGTTGTTACTGGTGAAAGCTATTTATGCTGGTATGTAAAGTAAATGATAAATTGTTGTTTCATATTCAAGAAAATAATTTAAAATCATTAAAAAAAATTTAAATGGCACTAAAGAAGATTCTTTCGTCAACGACGATCACAAATGTTATGTAATGTTACAGACGTTGATGCAAGGGAAGATTGTAAAAGCAAACGGAACTAGGGATTTGTCGGATCGAAGTCATATGGATGTCATTAATAAGTTTTAAGAATTTTTTTTTTGGTTTTCTTTGTGTTTTTGGGATTATTTTTTGTAAAACTAGAATTATGGGTTCGGATAGTAAGGCATGGAATTATTGGGATTTGTGATAGATTGAATTCAATATGATCAGCCGTTGTGTGACAGTCTATAGATCTAAGGACAGGATTTGTAGTCCCAAACTACAGTTTGGTCAAACTCTTAGCAAAGCGCTGGCTTCTTCTTATAATAGTGATGTCAAACTCTAAAGTTCTTAAGTGATCAACAAACAAATTGATTTTTTCACAAACAATAAAACCAACAAACATGGGAATTTATATTACAAAGTATCTCAGTAAGGGGTTCATTTTCATATGACAATTTCTCAATGTTTTAGTGCATGATAGTCGTTGAAATTTCCAAGATTATTGTAACATTAAAATAATAAATATGGTTGTTACTACAAGTGTTTTTAAATAAATTAGATATAAGTCAATTAATGTTTTTGAAAATGTTCATCACTCTTTCATTATGGGAATGAATTATGTTGTTATCTTGATCTGGGATATTGAGCAATATTTAGACGAATCTGCCAGTGTAAGGATAAGACCTCGGTAATAGAATCACTAAGAGCAGTAATGGATTCGATTAGTAAAGGGCTATTTATCGATGGATGGTTTACAGTGCCATGAGACATATTTTTACAGAATATTTCATATTGAGCCACTTAGGCTACATTTTAAGTTAAAATTTTTAACAACCATACAGTCACATTCTTAACATTGCTTGTTATCACGTTTTTCTTAAATTTTCGTTTTATGTCGAGAATTATAAATCTCTACACTTTTGTACTTTTAATACCTTAAGGTAAATAAACCAATCTATCCATCTATCTATCTATCTATCTATCTATCTATCTATCTATCTAGAATGATTAGAAAACAATAAAAATCTCTTTAAGGACTTGGATTCGATTTCCACAATAGATCCTTCTTTCAACTTTTGAATCCAAGCGACACAAAAGACAAAGATTTCAACACAGATCAATCAAGGTTCCGCCAAGAAGTGAATAAGTAACACCTTAAGCTTATCAGCTCTTTCTTGGATCTTTCATTATTCATGTGGCTTGTGGAAATTGATTTCGAGATCGACTTGGGATAGGAACCGAAACTAAAGGCTTCAAAAATTAATATGAGTTATTGTGCATAGGTGCCTTAGAGGAAGGGGGGTCTGAGATTTTTTGTGACACTTTAAGCAAATGAAAATTTTCTTCGTACAAATTTTGTGACTATGGGGGAGGCGAATCTATAAAGTCATTTTTCGCATTAAGTAATAAGTGAACAGCCTCAAAAAAAAATTCCTTAAATTTTAAAAAATTCAAGTTCTAATTGCAAAGTAAGTATCTTATTATCCCTTGAAATATCCACTTTAAAATTCATATTGAATAAAGTCTCAATGGGTTACCCTTCCTAAATACTTTTATCAGCACATTACACCTTCAACAGAGCACAAAAAACCGTTAAAAAGGTTAAGGGCTATTCAGTTATTACGTTACGCAAATGAACTATCTTTTAAGACCCCATCGCATAACAATTTTTGTATGAAAACATTAATCTGTTCCAAAAATTGAAGATCCCCTCCTTCCGTATAAAAAACGAACGTAATAAGAGAACAATCTAGTATGGCAAGACAGTTTGGTAATAGCGAAAATGCAAATTCCTGATAATCTTAATTCCAATTGGTCTAATTTTAAATTTTTCTTTCTTCATTCATGTACTTTGTGTATTTTTATAAAGAAATTTCATTTAAAGTTTGAACAGTTGGGCGAGTTTTAATGCCAAAAAAAAATAATAATTCAAGTTAAACCATGAACTTGTATTTGTGAGCAAAAATCAGTCCTTTTAAATATTTCACAATCAAAAAATAAATAAATATGTCAAACAAGCAGCATATCTGCTCAAACATTATTGCAAAATTCCAATAAGAATTCCAATTTAAAGAGTCACATTGTCATAGTGGAAAAAATACGTTAAAAAAGAACCCCTCTGATATATTTAACAGGCAACAACAACACAACTACAGTCATAAAGTCTGTCGTATGCTGGACAAACACAACAACACATAAAATAGAATGAAGCTGAATAGAACAAAAAAAAAGTGAAGGAGATTAAAAAATATTATTTAAGTATTTATGATTTTTAAGAGCATTCATTTAAAATTTAAATTTCTCACACCAAAAAAAAAAAATATAATGGTTGGAGAATCTCCATTGTTTTAGACTACGACACTCGAAGTATGCGAACTCCTATAATTATTGACTATAGAATTTTGAAAAGATCATAGAAAATATTTTCAGTTAAATGAATAAAGCTATTATTATTACAAGGGATAAAATATTTTGATTCAAATTACAATGAATTGTTTCGATGGCATAATTTGGATACCAAACATTGTGGAGTATCATAAATTAATAAAGCCTATCATGAACCTATTATTCATCATAGGAAGTGATATTTTAGGTGAATAAATTAACGAATAAAATATGAATTTTGCTCTAAATTGTAATTAAGCGGGGTTTGTAATGAATTATGGGGTCATATAGATATTAAGTAGTGCTGGAAATTTGGGAAATAAATTTTCAATATTTTCTGTTGAGATTGCAGTGTTATAGGTTCTATAAGAGTAGCCATATCGATCTATACTCGATGTTAATATGGAATAATTCGGATTCTGGTTAGATTCGAACCCATGTTTTGTTCCGTTTTGTTAATATATTAAACAACTAGACCAAAGCGGTATTTCCATTGCACTGATAGGTTTGCCTACATATGGGTCAATACTGTTTAAATTGGATGGTTGATCAATAGAGCGTTAAGAGCTTCATACTTGCCGTTTTCAGTACAATTCCTTTTCTGACTTGCGTGCACGTGGACTCATTAGCGTGTTCAGAGATCTTCTAAAGAAAGCTTTATCCTTTGAAACCTTCTAATAGTTCGGGATATTAAGGACTATAGCGTCATTATCAACACATCTAATCCAGGTATTTTCTGGTCTTCTTCTAGATCTCTTACCATTCATTAAGTCTGCAACTGTTCCTTTAAGGACTAGGACACTCAATTTTTCACCATAGATCGAATAGATCGAGACAATTTCTGTAATCAGTTTTTCCGCTCAGCAGTCCTGCACATTTGTCAAACAAAGCTCCACCAAGGTAAATCATGAAAAAAAAATTAATTAATTAGAAAATTTTATCATTTAAATTTCAATTTTAATTCATTTACATCCCCTCCAGTGAATAATTATGAAAATAAAATTATAATTCATAAAAATTATTCATTCTCTCTCCCTCTCTCGCTCGTGTTTTATTTTTCAATTCACTAATTATTCCTCACCACTTACGGTACGCCAATGAAATAAAAACTTTACCCAATGATGGTTTTAATTTTTGCTAGCATAAAAAAAATTTAATAAAAATAATAAACGAGTGGAAAAGTGGTGGCACATGAATAAATGGAAATAACTCATCTGTAAAATTATCCAAAAAAAAAATTTTTTTGTGCAAAGTGAAAAAGTTCTTATTTTTTGTTTTAAAAACATTTACAAAAATCCTCGTGTTTTATTGAGAGGTTTTAGCGCATTTTCAAAAGTTTTTTACCTGAAATTGTAAAATAAAGAAAAAAAATCAATTTTCTGAACGGACTCATCCCAAAAATTTTTAAAAATAAGCTTAAAATTAAAATTCTGAAATTAAAAATCGAATTTTCACAAAAAAGAAAAAAAATATCAAAAAAGAATTCTGCGATGGCCGGGAATTGAACCCGGATCTACTGCTTGGAAGGCAACAATGCTGACCATTACACCACCATCGCATGTTTTGAGATGATTCAATTTTGGCAAATTCACAATTTATGTTCTTAGTTCATTTGCTGATTATTATATTAATCATATTAATAAACCATATTTGTAAGAAATGTCCTGATTCCTTATTATTTTGAGAGTTCCTTTTGCAAAGATTTTGTAATTTCAATACAAAGTGCATTATTAAGCTACTCCTGTGAAGTAAGTTTAAAAAATTGCGATAAAAATTGAATAACTTTATCCCCTGATACGCCCTTCGAATATGCTAACAACTTTTTCCGCAAGCTTTTCTGCTTGTTATTTCCCTTATTCTCTTCCTCTTTTTCATAAGCCAGTGCTCAGTCAAGAGCTTACAAATAGTTTTTTTTTCAGTTGAGATAAAATTTTGTTGCATAATTTTTTTTTTTCGAGAGTTGATAAAATGAAAGTATGAAGCTGACATGCAAAAAAAGCTTATAACAATGTCTATGAGAAAGCTTTAAGTACTTTTATATTGAAACTATAACACTGAAGGCTGAAAGTATTATTTGGCATTTTAAAAACATGAAAAATTGTTAAGAAGATTTTGAAACTGAATTAAGCATCCTAAACCCAAAATGACACAATCTCAGAAAAGACAAATGCATCAGTTCCACTAATACTTCAAATACCGCATTAATCAGCCTATCCAAAAACATTTTAACCTGACCATGCCACATCACTGCTAAATGACCCTCAAATTAAACCTTTTTATGAACTTTAATAATTTAATCATAAATAAAATACTGAATAAAATTTTATTGATGTTCTGCCCGCTTATAAAAGTATCCACATAAGCTCATCCTACTCTGTTTACATTTCTGAGCTTTATTTCAAAAATAATAAAAATTTATTCTCATCTGCAATAAAATTTAGATCATAAATTTGTCGTTCCAATTTTTTGTGTGTTAGTCTCCACATACTGCAAAGCAAAGCGAACATAAATCATAATAGAGGAACAGAACATGGCTATAAAAAATAGTTTGCACACAACAGGAATGAGCGAGAGAGTTTACATTCTGTGTCTGATTAAATAAAATTATTGCACACGTTGGGCCACCTGTGAATGACACTCACATGCACGCTCTTTTTTTTTGTTGCCTTACTCTAATGTACAGTCGCGGTGCTACCAATGATTTTATTTATATCTAAAACTTTTTTTTTTGGTGAGTGCTTTAGAGCTTTTGGGTACAGGATAGAAATGAAATGGATTATGGAGATAGTTTTATTTCTATATTTGTCTGTAATAAATATTTCATTTCATATACAAACATGCTGCTTTTTTGTCAGAGATGTTAAAAATACGGAAATATGTGGCAAATGTCTCGTTCTCATTTTACATTGAGATGGAGAATAAAAAGCGGAAAAGGACTGTCCAGTCTCATTTTCCTGCTCATTCACATCTACATTTTATATTCAGGGTTTCTTAAAAAGAGTGCCAGTTGGTCTGTGCTTTAGATGCAGATTTGCTTAGGATAGATTTAAACAAGAAATTTTTATGGCTTACACTGATGTGCAGGTTAGGTTGCTTGCTGATCGCTGGTATTAATAAGATCTTATTTAAAAGATCTGAACCACTTCTACTAATAGCTTCTGATTGTAATAATCTTAGTTTTAAGAGCTGTGCGTTTAAGCTATGTTTAATAGCTTGGGATAGTTAAATAAGTGAATAAGAAGGCAGATGAAGGAGTGGGTAAGGGATGTGTACACTAGACTTCAGCGTTCATCAGAAGCTGATACAGTTCAGTTGAATCTGAATTGATATCATGAAACAATCCAAATGTATCCAGCCACGTAGTTAAAGCCTAATCATGCGATGCACTATGTTCTGCCTATATCTTCTTGTGTCCTTCAAAAGGAAGCTGTAAGGTTTATTTCCAGAAAATACAACTAGACTCAAATTTAATAATAATATTTGAAGGATCTGCGTATGAGATAAGCCAAAGGCTAAACAATCAAAACTCCACAAATCCATTGGCACACTTCACAAAATTACTCCCTTAAAAACTCAAAGCATCTCCATACACAACATATAAACACACAAAAAAATGTATTAAAGAGCATCTGTCGCTCTCATATTCTTTCTGCATCATTAATCATTCATTTTTAATATTCATCAGGCATCAACACTTTCAGAATTTTTCATTTTTGGCATGAATAAATATTATTTTTTTTTACATCGCTCAGTTCGGACATGAAAAATAAAATTGTATATGAATAATTTAAAGGTATGAAAGTAAAAAATTTTTTTTGTTAACCCAGACAGGATGTTGTACATTTTATGACTAATCAGCTTGAAAATTTATTAAAGGTAATCGCATTTACTCTGTTTTTCCCAGTTTTCCATTAACTTTGTAAATATTTAAAGCTTTTTTTTTTCGGACATATTTGTGTGCGTAGCTTTCATCATCAACTTTTGGATGCTGCTTTACATATTTTTGATTGAGTTGGAACAGATTGAATCAGTAGAATTTCTATTTATTTAAATAACAAGTTCCTACTTTTTTTTGCTTTGTGTTATTTTATAAATAAATCCTGCTTACAATTTTTTCAAAATAAAATTTTGCCAAAAAAAAATCAATAAAAATGTGAAGGTGCAATAAACTGAAAATGTCTGTCCAAAGGAATTTATGGTATTCAGAAGAACCAACAAATTCCTGGTTGTTCACAAAACAAGTTATTTTAGCGCCATAAAATTTGATTCCAAATCTACATCAAATGTCAATCAAAGTGTTAATTAAGAAGAAGAATTTTTCGATAAAGACACAAATTTTATCCGAATGTGGTCAGTTAGCAGCGAGCATCTGAGATTAAAAGAGTTGGAAAAAATGAAGTGCTTGTTTCTGTTTAAAGTATTGATTTACTTAAGTGTGGTGTCGATAGTGTTGGGTGATGATTACTGCAATAAAAAATTATGTAGTGGACAGTTGCATGTTGCATGCAAAAATCCAGGTGTAAGTGAAACTGTGATTTATATTGTTACGAGTGAAACTTTAATTTTTGAGAAAAAAAAAATTCTATTTAGTTCCAAATCTGTAAGAAATTTTCAACATTCTCATCTTTCCAGAAATTTTCTTTCTTCTGTCCAAGAGATAGAACATCAGTAGCTCTTTCTGCTGACGATAAAGAAACAATTCTTGACAGCCACAATTCTTTCAGGTGAGGATTTTTCTACGAAGTGCAAGATGTGGTGCAGTTAACAACAATTATGAGATCTCAAGTCCATAAATAATCAGAATCATCTTTTTTCCATTAAACCATCAGAAATATTATTGCATCTGGCAGTATCGGAAGTTTTTGTTCAGCTGGTAGAATGGCAACTATGCAATGGTCAACTGAGTTGGAAAATCTTGCAAAATTGAATGTTCTGCAGTGTAAAATGAATACTGGTGAGCTCAAATGATTAAATATTTGAGAATTTCTTTTAATTTTTGAATCCTATAAACTTAGATGCTTGTCGCAATACATGTAAGAATTATTTGAAAACTTAGCTAACCTATCAAACTATAATAAATTGTATCTACTCTTAAAAGTGGAATTCAGTAAGGTTGGACAAAATTTAGCACTTCAGCAGCAAACTGGAACATTTATGGCTACAACCACTGCATTAATTAAGAGCATTCAATCATGGTTTTATGAATATCGACAAACTAATCAAACGACTGTCGATAAATGTTGTGGAAAAAACTTGTAAGTTGATTTTGATTTTTTAAAAATTTATTCTTAATTTTTTTAATTTATACTAGACTGGATTATGAACATTTTTTGCAAATGGGTGAGCCTTAAAAATGATCTATTGAACTTGATTTTATTAGCCTTAGTCCAATCAGCTAGCACAAAAAATTTCAAGTCCATTATACTAGACCCGATGTTGGGAAGCATTTTAAGTCGACATAACTTAACAAATACTCCAACATTTTATTAAACAGTTAATGATCGAGCAACTCATATAGGATGCGCCATCTCCAGATACTCAGACTCTAGCAAAAATGTCCTCATCGCATGCAATTATGCATCAGGAAATGCATATCGACACAAAATTTACAAATGTGGAAAGACAGCAAGTGAATGTTTTAGTGGAACAAATCCACGTTACAAAGCGCTGTGCAATGTTAATGAACTTATCGATGCTAATCAAATGTATTAAGTGGAATGCAAAATCAATTGAATTTATGAATAAAAATTTGCACATATTGACTCATTTTCTAAATTGAATTAATTACCTTATTTTTAATCTTTGAGCTTAATAAAATAAGGGCAGTGCTAATTAATTTTTTGATAGTCAATATTGAGTTAATTTATTAATGCATTGATTTTTTTGAATTAATTGTTTATTGATTCAACAAGCATTAAATCTTAATATGTAGTAGATTATGACTTCTATCAACAGGATGGACAATGATCACCAGAACACGGAGGACACACTGAAAGATATGTTTAAGGTTAAAATATTGTATTTTACTTTTTGAGCTACTTACTGTCCAATACAACCAAAATGAAGCAACTTATAAATTCAAAGATTTGAATAAAATTTATTGACATGATTGGATAGAAAAGGTAAAGCTCTGCTAGCTTTAAAGTGTACACAACTAATGAAGCTATTATTTAAAAAAAATGTTAATTTTTAAAATTGAATTTTTAATAATTTTGCTGCTTACAATTAATAATTGAATTAATTCATGACTTCGACACTTGAAAATTTCATATATTTATATTAAATTACATGGACAGTCACCTTCAATTTATGCAAGTCAAGAAACACAAGAATTGACAATTTAATTTTGAATTTTAACAATTTCTTTGCTAAGATAATTTTATTAATCACATCCGAAAATATAGTTTGTCATAGAAATCCCTCAAAAACCAAAAATATTTCTCAAATCGATTTTCAAAAAAAAAAGCATCGAAATAATTTGAAATTCACCTATGCGTCTACATCGTCTGGAAAATTGCACTCTTCATGCCATGGAAATTGTCGGCAAAAATAGTAAGGATCTGCTTGTCCTAAAATTAAAAAGGTTCAAAAAATTAAATCAAAATTAAAGTTTTCAGAAGTTTTTCTTACGACTGGATAAATCTGGATTGATCTCTTCTGCAACAAAACAGCTTAGAATCGAAATAAATGCAAAAAGCATCAAAAAATTCGAATAATCCATGATTATTATAAAGTTTTTATAGATTCAATTTTTAAAGAAAACTGAAAATTATTTGTTTGGAATTCTCATTTTATACATTTTAATATTTTCTAAAACTGATTTCATGGTCAACGAGTTAAAATAAAATTTAAGGTTTTTAATATGTGTGAAATTGTCAATTTATATTAAATTTATGGCTATCGATCATGAATATTTTTATTTATTTATTTACATTTATTGAAACTGCTCGAACAAACAAAAATAGAAATAATTGCAGAATTTAAGAAATGTCGCTTAATTATTTCGTATTCTTCTGTATTCTTAAATCTGGAATTTAAGGATCACTGCTACAAATTGGAGGATCATTGTCTTGAAGGCTCCTTTTTTTCTAAAATAATGATATTGTATTATAGCTGATAGTAAGAACCAGTGTGTTGAATTGGTTAAATTGATCAAAATATTCAAAAGTAAATAATTGAGTTTTTGACAATTTTAGGTTTTACCAACGTTGAAATAGATCAACTTTCAATATTTAACTTTGCTAGCGATTCTTTCTTAATTAAGGAGAGAAGTAACGCCTTTCTGCATCCTTCATCAGTGATTCTGAAATTTAAAAAAAAAATACAAGATGTTTAACAAAATCAACAAAACGTTTTTATTTCATTTCTTAGAAAATCTCGAAAATCTTCAAAATTACTAGTGATTAAGGATGGTTAAGGATGAATTTTGCAACATAAGATAGTGTTTCATGAGAAATGTCAAAATCTTGTAGACCCCGAATGCATCTTCAAAGTTCAAACTGCTTCAAAGATTGATGTTGATGTCGCTCAGTAGAAGTTTTAATATTCTGAAGAAACAAAAAAGATTTTTAATTTATTAATTTATTCTTAGATTCAAAATTTTAGGTGATTGGAAAAAATGGAAAAAATCATGATTTTTTAAAATCTCATGTAAATCGTTAATCAATTTTGCTACGCAATGATTTTACTTACGTCCAAAATTCCACGTAAAGATTCGCGTTATAATTTTTTTCCAATCACCAAAAACGTGATTTTAGACTATCATAAGAGTTTTAACTCCTCACCAGCCCTGCTGAAAATAACGTTTTGATCATTTTCATCAGTTCCATACCACACTCTTAATTTATTGAATTTTTTTTTCCAAAAACATTCGAACTTACGATTTAAATCTATGTATTTCAACTTTTCCAATTCATATTGCTCATCTGCTGCCACAAAAGATGCGAATGAAATAATTGCAAGAAATACTAAAATTAACAGCTTCATGATTAAAAAATATTCTCAAGTTCCTGTTGATCGTAGCCAAAAACAAAAACTGAATCGATAATTTAAGAAAGTTTTGAATTTATTCATAGTGTGATTAGTAATGCCAATTATTTGATTGATTTAAAGGTTGTTGATTAATTTTATGGATCTCAATTTCAAGTAATATGACTGAGGTATTAAGGAGATCTGAGATTCTCTTTGAACCTCCAATAAACTGAAGAAAATCCAAAAATAAAGGATCCCAAGCTACACTCGTGACAACAAGAACTTCATATGAATGCCAATCTAAAAACGTCCCAATTTTGTATTTATTTTTAATTTGGCAAAGCAAATAAAGCATAAATTTCAAAAAATAAAATAAAGCAAGAAAAAAATTGCTGATGAATTATAAATGAATTTTATTTCTTTATTTTCCTCTCGATTTCAAAAAAAAAATTAATATTTGCTTTACGATTCAGTTTAAAAAATTGCAATTTCATAAAACAATAAATCCATAAATCTGTGTATACTTTAGACAATTTTCAGACTGTTGCTGTATCAGTAAATACTCACTCATCATACTGCATGGGTGGATAATATTTCAGTTACATGTTTAGTCACACAATTATAAATCAACATCACAATTTTCACGTTCATTATCAAGTGTCTCGTGGCAGCACCAGGACATTAATTTACGTACATATTCCCTTATTTTGGACACGACGGGTTGGCATTTCCACAAATTTCCATTCCGCATCTTTCTCCCGAAAAAAAAAATGGTAAAATAAAACACTTGTTCATAAAATATTCATGCATTTTCACGCGAATGATAGCAATTTATGCCAGTTTCACTGAAAGATTAATTGCCCTCATTTAAATATTGTTATCACAATTTCCACATTCGGTTTATATTTAGTAGTTTATACTGTGCGATATACCGCAAATTCAGCTTTATGATTTACCAATTTTTTTATTTTTATTTTCTGGCAATTGAACGACATGGATTGGGATCGGAAATGCTTTTTGTTCTTGTACATGATGCTTCCATAAAACAGAGTGAGATGTAGAGTTATTTTTATAATTAACATGTCATTTAATTGTCAAAACAGCAAGAAACATGATTTTTTTTTCAGCTCCAACTTTTTACTTACCATAATTTATGCTACCCACCACCCATTGGACATTTTTACAACAGTGAAAAAAAGTCATGCTGGACATAAATTCACGATTCATCTGAACAAGATGAACATATTGACTGTGACTTTATTTAAATTAAGTTTTTTTAATGGATGGAACTCACATGTAATGATGCACGAAACTTAATTGCTATTATTTGACTTCAGGGTGTTCTTTGACTTCTGTGTGTGGATATGGCTCGAAGAACTTATCTGTAGTAGATAGGCCTAAGCATAGGGCTCGCGTTGAAATTGGTTGTATGTGTATGACGGATAGCCGAAGTGAGATAAGTACCTAGGTAGCCGAGTGGCAGGGATCTCTGATCAAATGGTCAGAGATTGCCTCATTTAAGGTCATGGGTTCGATTCCCTTCAAACGGCTTGTATTACATTATACACTTTGGGCAATTATAGGGAGATCTACACTGTGATATCATAAAAGGAACGAAACTTTAAACTTCATACGTTAAAAGCTTCAACTTTAATGTCAGAGACTGGTTTCTAGGTCTGCCAGAGACACCCTACTTTAGGATTTGAAACTCGATGAGTCTTTGTGATAGAGTTAAATGAAAAATTTCGGCATACAATTCAGCTGCTTTAAAGATTTGTAACGCAAAAATTGCCTTTTTAGCCTCCTCCCCCCGCCCCCCCCCCCTCCTTTGCTATCGTTTATCCTAGCAGTTCACCTAACCGATTTCAAGAATTTAAATCCAATTTAAAGCAACACCATTTGAAATTAAGATGGCGCTTTTGATTTTTTTCTTCCCAATTCTCATTACTATGGTTAGCCAAACTAGCCCATTTCTCATACTTTTAACTTTAACAGAAGTTTATAATTTAAAAGAAAAATGACTTCACAACAAGGAGGAGCCACTATGCATCCATAACTTCACGTAAACGTAACAAAATCAAAACAAAAATAAAGTAACATCTGTTCTGCATCAACAAGAGTATTTCAAAGGGCTTTTAATTAATTCTAAGGTTTTAAGAAAGTTATTTATCATGACAACAAGAAGATTATATGCTTGGGTAGTTAATATATCAATTTAATGAGTAAATATAGGAATTATACAATGTTTTAATTCAATTTAGGGAGCAAACAGTTACAGTCAGTTAGGATTGGACAAAAAAAGTGAATATGAGTTGCCGACAGAAGTAAAAATCAATATACAAGATATAAAGAAGATTTGCGGAGGAGCTCGTCATACAATAATCTTGGATGGACGTGGAGATTTACACATAGCAGGCAAAAGCGATTTATCTCCGACTGAATATGAAGGAATGTTTAAGAAACTTGAATTAAATAAGAAATTCAAAGACGTGGTTTGTGGATTTGACATGACAGCGGCATTTACTGATGACAATAAATTAATGGTGTGGGGAAATAATAAAAACAATCAACTGGGATATCCAAACATGTCAGTTATCAAAGAACCAATAGAATTGTCATTACCAGACAATGAAACAGCAATTAATGTGAAATTTGGACTTAAACACACTGCCATCCTCACAAAGTCCCATCACATTTTTATCGTCGGTCTACTGAAACATTTCAAGAATGACAAAAATGCGTCATATAAAGAAGTTGATCATAATTCAATTGAGTGGCTCCAATTGATACCCAATATCGTTATAACTCAGAATGATATAACACATATCGTATGTGGTCAAAATCACATTTCATTTGTTATTGATAGACATGTGATATATGCACATGGGGATAATAAATTTGGTCAGTGCAGTCAAACTGAAACGTCCGAGAAAATTATGAAATTTGAATCTGGATGGACACACAATGGATATTTGACAGAATCAAATTCACTCTTTCTTTATGGTCGTAACAATTATGGACAGCTGGGAACTAGGAGTAAAGTTCTTAATGGAATTACCACGCCTCAAAAATGTTCAATTTATCCGGTGAATGATTTTTCACTTGGTGCTGAGCATGGGATATTGAAATCTGGAAGAGATATTTACACTTGGGGATGGAATGAACACCGAAATTGCGGTCATGATACTGATGATGATATGTAAGCATTTCAATTTAAAAAAAAAACTTTATTTCTCATATTGAATTATTCATATAGAATTGAGCCAAAACTTTTACAGCTATGCAGTCATATTAGTGAAATTGTTTTTGTTATTGCTGGTGCTGGATTTTGCATGGTAAGTTTTTAACATTCGAAATAGAAAAAAGAAAAAACTTTTTTTTCAACTAATCCATGGTAATAAATATTACAGGTGCTTCTGGAAACATGTGATAAATGACAGAATTACAAAATGGATTTTCGTGCAGAACTAAAATGCATCAAAGTTGCTCTATTTTTTTGATACGGGAAAATTTATTTGAATTTGCTTTTATTGCTGTATATGCATTGAAAAAGTCTGAACATAAATCACTTGCTTTTGAACTATTTTACTCTAAATAAATTTGCAAAAAAAAAAAAATGGTAAAGCAATTTAATTTGAGTTCGTAAAAATTTTTTTTGGATATCCTTCTGAGAAGCTAATACAAAACATTACGTTAAATTGCTTTAGAAACATAAATTGAGATGTCGAAGCTATTCAAGTGTTAGTATTTAAATGTAACTTTTGTTTTAGCAGTGAGATTTTGGTTTCTAAAGCTACTTAAGGTACCTAATCATAGTCCTAGTTAATTCTATTTAAACTCCAATCAGGAACACATCAATTTTCAATCTTAAGGTGAGTCACTTCAAGAATAAGAACCTTAAGAGCCTATGGTCCAAGAAAAAAGGCAGGATCATATTAAAATGGGTTTGGGGGCTACATTCTTTCAATTACATGATGATGATGATGATGGGTTCCTATTACTCCACTATGAAGCGTAGGGCGTCCACAAAGCATTTGAATCGCACTCGATTCTGGGCCAAAACTGCTATTTACTACAGCTTCTTGTTCTGTTGTTCCGCCTCCCGTTTAACAGTTGTACGCCAAGTAATTCTTTTGCTGCCCCTAGTCCTATTTCCTTGCACATTCCAGAAGATCGCTTGCATCCCTTACATTAATTGGTTCAACTCAGATCAAAGTTAATTAACATTTTAAAATGAATTTACTTTTCAAAAATATTTACATTTTAAACCCATGCTATCCAAAAAGCTTCGGAAACCAATTAACACATTTTTCTATCAGCTTCTTTTATTCATATTATGGACAGTAACATGAAAAGCTCATTGAAGTTTAACCAGAATATTTATACAGCTTAACAATGATGTCAATGTTACAAAGGATTTAATTTGTTTACAGTCATGAATGTTGTTGTGTTTTGTGGAATTTTAATATTATGCCTTTGTTAATTGTTGAAAAATTTATTATTTTATTCTGATGTTTGGGCATTAAAATTTATTTCTGCGATAGTTGACTTTATTCGGATTATTGATAAATTTTGGGTAGATTTTAAAATTTCAAAAAAAAAATTGAAATCTAAAATTCAAAAATGTTTAATCCAAAGTTCATTTTAGGATCATACTGACACTTAATTACCCTAAACCTTTCTAAACGCTTTATTTTCATGCCTCCTTCCATTAAACACTCATCCATATTTAAACATTTCAAGCTAATCCAAATTCTAATTAATTCAAAGTCAACTAGCTTTTAAGTAATTATCTAATTAGCTATCACTTAATAAGCATCTCATCAGGTTTTTCATACAATTAACTTACGTACTTTGTAGAGCTCTGTTATTGTACATGATTACTTCATTAACTTAATTAGACTGCGTAGGTGTTCTTAATTTATCGCTACGTCAACTGTGCTCTGTAGGCGAATGTTTTACACCTCCAAGTTCCATGTCATTCAAGAAAGAATAATATAAAATTTTTAAAGACAAAATTTACAGAGTGGAAGCATGCATGGATCAGAAGTTTGATGGTTTTACAATTTTCTATGAAATAAACTTTGTTTCATGCTGCTATTAAACTTTTCGTTTCATTATTTTAGAATAAAATGCAATTAAAACCTCGAACGTGAAACAAAATATTATGTCCTCTAAAATTTTGCCAATCTCAATTTTCTCCGAATGTAAAAAACACCATCTGTGATCGTGACGCATTGCAAATTGCATTTTTCAGAAAAAGTTTTTTGATTACAATTTATTTTCATGTAAGTTTTAGTAGAGGCATGGAAAGAGAGTCCAAATCACCCTCGTTCTTCAATTTATATTGTGCTTTTAAGAAGCCCACCACCCTCCCCCCGCAAATACATGCCAAAAATTTTTAAGCACCTCTACCCTCTTTCCCTTACGTTTTTGAATTCTACTCTTGACATTAAATTCTATCGTCCACTAAGTTGAATGTCATAAGTGCTTTTGTGGACCTTACCCACTTGACGGGTTCAAGGGAAACTTTAATTTTATTGATAAATATTTCCAGATTGTTTTTAACTCCACTTCTGCTCGGGTTTCACTCATTTCACGATGCAATTTATGATTCAATACAAAAACAGTATCATAAGATAGTTTTTAAGCTCTATGACGTTCAATTTCATTTCTGACAGCAACAGAAGCTTAACCCTTGTTTCACAGCAAATCGCAAAAGACGACGATAAAAATGTCGTAAAAAATTTCATCCAACGAAATGGATTCTTATCAAAAAGATATAAAGTATATTTTTTACACTCCTATGTTTCTTGAATACCGAGAACATTTTGCTCCTTCATTGAATAAAGCATGACATTTGGCGGAAAAAGGAGAAGAAAAAAAAAGTTCAATTTCAAGACGTCTTTATTTTCAATTCCGCTCGTTGCTTGACGGTTGTACAATAAAAGTCTCATGTGTCACAACTATCTACAATGTCAATTCACAAGACGGGAAACTTTATGTATTCGTCTATAGGTTGTTTTTGAAATGAGATGAAGAGTTGATTCATTTCAGTCGGGTTGCCTGTTTGATATTTTATGTTATTTCAGTCTGGTGATGGTCTTTTGAATGTTTCCAAATATAGATTTAATATGATTGGTACCAAAGATGCTGTACAGAGCAAAAAACAGCTTAAATTGATGAACTGTGAAGCTACTTGGCAATCCTATTGCTCAATGGTAAGAGTATACGACACGTTTTCGTAAAAACGAAGGTTTGATTCCTAAGTTGTGTAAAAGTTCACCTTTTATACCAAAAATTAAGTTCTTTGGGTATCAAAATCAACTTTTTAAACATGGTTTAGCCAAATTTCCAGAAAGCCTTAAGTGACTATCGACTTCATTTATCTTCAAATAGCAGAAATAGAGCAGGAACTTCAATATGAAGATAAATGTTGTATGAATCTCAATAAAAGCCAATAAAATCAACATTTGAAAAGTTGACATAACCTCCAAGCAATAAAGTTCAATTATTGCCATTCATTAATTTACCTTTGTTATTCAATTTCGTCTTTATTATCCTCATTTCTTGAAAAATCTTTGACGATTAACGTTAAAGAACAATAAATTCTAATCCAAAGCAACTATATAATTGCTGCAGGTTCAAAGTTATGCAACATATGACGTTTTCTTTGTGCTGCGCTGCAAAAATGTCAGAACAATTTTCCACAATTTAAATCCTTTCGGTATTTAGCTCTTGCGACATTATGAAGAGTCATTCGTCAAGATTCGTTTATCCTTTGATTTTGTACTGCATAGATTTTGTTATAATGCAGTTCTCTGCAATTTACAAATTTAATTGATTATTTTAATTAGTCTGCAAAGCAAAGCAAATTGAAAATTGGTCTACAAGTTGATAAAATGCGCTCCAAACATTCGAATGAAGGATTTCCTTACACATCGTATCCGCTGTGAATTGTCTTGTTCGGAATGCATTTAATAAGGAATGTTGAAGAATTTTTGAAGCCATAACTGAGCGAAGAGTAAAAATAAAGTTTCTCATTTGGGGATCTTTCACTTATGACGTCCAAAAATTTAGATGCTTGGATCTGGGTGAGGTTTGGCTCTGGTTTGGGGTTTAGCTCTGGATAGGAGCTTTGTCAGGAAATTTTAAATTGTCATGCTTAATTATTGAATGAAAAATTTGCTAAGGTTGTGCATAAAACCTCAAACTTCCATCATAATTGAACCATCAATACTGGATCGTAGCCAGATTTTTTTCGAAATGTCTACGGATATACCTGAGGATGATAAGCTTCATAACTTCAAAAAACATCATTCCTTAACGATCCCCTTTATGTCACATCAAATCTTTAATTTTATCATTGAATTTTTAAAGAACCAAGCGCAAAGACATAAAAGACACAAGAAAATTGAAACTAAGCAAAGGATTGTCGTTAGCAATCAATATCCATCGAAAGAACAGAAAAAAAAAGATTGTAATTTGCTTCCGGATCATTGAGTCGTGATGATACTTTTAGTATTATTCTTGAATGAGGAAATTTTCACATTCTGTTATAGATTTATCGAAAAACAGGTTGAAAATGTACGAGAGGAGATTGACATCATTTTATGGTTAAAAATAACATTTATTTGAATGTTTTTTTTTTTTTTGAAAAATGAGAAAATTTATTTTTATTGGAATGTAAATTAAGCTTTTTGAAGGAAGAGAAATTTAAGAGGGTGGTTATTAATTATGCGGATCATTGGAGCGAGTTGCGATGTATAATATGAAATAAATATATAAAAAAAGTGCTATTCAATGAACAAGAGAGAAGCTCATGTGCATATATGTTGATATTTTTGCTTCATTTATAGCATATGAGCGAATACCTGAGCGTGCAGATGATGCCATCACATAAATGTCACGATATGTTCGGAATTTAAATTTTTACGAGAAAATTTGTGAATTTACATAATTATTTGGTGAAATATAAATTTATCAATAAGGGGAAAACAACATGATGAGGAAATGAATTAGTGAAAAATTCAAATTTTGCTGTGTTCCCCTCAATTTAAAATCATTTTATGATTTTTTTGTTTGTCGTATATTTAAAATTTCTCAAACTCCACCCCTGCAACTGTCATGATGCTGCATAAATTCTGACAATTATTATACATTACGATGTTATTCATCGTAATATTTAATTCAATTAATGCCATCTGCTACCAAAATTAACAATTTCATGTTCATGTGATGCACATATTAATTTATCTTCGTGTACTTTAAATTTTATGATAGATTCTGTTTTATTTGAGTTGAGCAAGTATCAGAAACTCTTACAACAAAGTTGAAAATCATGTTATTCACCGAAAGTATTTTATGATTTAATTTTAAGTACGTTGTCGACAGAAACCTCAGACAATGCACTTCAGAAAACAAAGCAGTAAAACTTATAAACTGTAAAGTCATGTTCCAGGGATGTTTTGTTGTTTAAGCACACAAGAGTCCTTATTGTAAGTTATTTGAATTCAGTGTTGTTGCTTTATCAAGGGGGATAACAACATGATGAGAAAATGTTTTGGTGGGATTTTTTAAACCAAAACAAAAACATCTTTTACAAACATT